GCCCCACACCATGCAAAGCGAAGCCCGGTATTTAAGTGGAGAAGGGTAGAGGGGCGGACCCATTATCCACCGAATTTAGAAGGCTGTGATTGGTCCAAAAGGCGGGTCACAGACAGATTTCTTAGTTATAAAAAAAAAATAAAAATAAAGTCAATCACCTAAAGTCACATCTAAAACAGTTCCCACCGATGTAGAACTTAATGAAACTTTCAAGACACTATCTTCTAAATTATCATAAACGCTTGTGAACAACCATGAGAATTAAGGAAGATTTGGTAAAGCAACATGCAAAAGTAGCCAAGGAAGCTGTCTCAGGTAGAACCTTATTTCCTAGTTTATGTTGGAACTCGTTCTCTGACTTTAATAGTGGTTTTTATTTCCAATCATTAATAAATAGCAGTATGATATTTGGTCCTTCCTCATAGTTTTAATTACTGATCAAATAAGTTTCATACATGAAGCTACATAGCAATCAATTTCGTCTATGTTGGTAATAATTCAGTTCGTATCTTTTAATGTCAACAGAAACATTAATTAGTTTTTGTTTGTCTTTATGGTTGAAACAAAAGAGAAATTCTTGGAGTGGTATCTGTATATCTCAATACTGAGAAATACCTTAACACAACTCATTCATGGGATTTTATGGGGCTCATTGCTGATGAAACAATGGAAATCCCAGATTTTTACACCAAAATATAAGTTAATGTAATCATTGATTTAATTGATACATGTGATCATTTTTCTGTTCATTCAGCTCAAGCTATCTTAATTGCAACTATCCTTTTCCAGTTAGGTGAAAGATATGATCATTAGTTTAGGTCGGTCCCTTCATTTGTTGTGTTGTCACGTAAAAGGCTCTCATTTCAGGTTACTTTTGTTTCAAAGAGTAAAATAACGTAACTTTGAAAAAGTGTTGTGTTTGTCATTTAGGTGCATATGGTTGAACTTGGGGATAATAGTTTCTTTAGTATTCTGTTTCCTTTTCATCAAGTATAGGATAAGTTTTATCACTCATCAATCAATTCTTGGTTCAATCATTTGCGAATGATCAGATATGTTTGCTTAGATTTTCTTTAACTCAAGTTTATTCAGTTTTTCAATTTATTCTTTGCATTTGTTGAACTCCTTGTCAATGTAAAATCATCTCTTTATTCACAAACTTATTAGTTTATCTTTAGCCGGCACCCCAGCTTCTTTGTTTCTCAAACTAATTAGATCTTAATGTTAAGCTCTTACGACATTTACTGAAACAGGAATTTGACCTGAATCTCCTAGTTTTAGTGACACCAACATGCCTCCGGTGCCAACTGAATGGAAAGGAGAATTCCAATCTGAGGAAACATTCAATGTCTTAATATGCAACATGTTTCTTTTATTTCCAACCATTTCTTGTAGTTTATTGTTTTGTTATATATATGATAAGTGCAATAAGAATTTTATCTCATATAGGAAAATAATTGGGGCAAGATATTAAATGAGTGGTTATGTAGCTGAAGCAGATGACCAGAAGACCATGTTCAATTTTTCCAAGGACACTACTAGTAATGCAAGTCATACACCTTCAACTGATGTTGGGAGTTACATAGGTAATATAAATTACATAGGTTTGGCATCTGCAGGAACTAGAGGTGGTGCCCCAATCACTACACCAAAAGAGACCTTTAGCGGCAATTGATTTTTCTTTTAGCGGCAATAGTTATTGCCACAAATACATTTACCGGCATTTGATTAAATGTCATTGGATCCAATGTCGCTAAAGCCTTTAGTGGCATTTATATCGGGTGCCGGTAAAAACCCTTATTATTGATTACTTTTAGCGGCATTTACTATTGCCATTAAGCTACTTTAGAAACAAGCATATTTGTGGCATTTAAATTCACCTTAATTCACATATTTAACCCTCTTTTCTAACATAAAAAACAAAATTCACAAGAGAAATAAGTTCGAAGGTAGTAAAAGAAGAATTATCAAACTCAAAACAATGTCATTCACTTAAAATAAGAACAAACAATCTTAATACATTCAATTTCTTATCTTGTAGCGGTAAAGAAACTATGAATGATCAAAATAGAAAAAATGTGTTCAACAATGGAATAAATAAGGCAGTTAAGCCGGTGTATGTTCCCTAATGCAAAATGTGACAGCTTTCTGGATCAGCGTGTCATTCCTTGAACAATCTCGCCATTTGAATGTGTATGCCACTGTACACATATAGCGGTAGATGGTTAGACGACAAAAAATTGACATGCCAATTACATATCTTACTCACTAAGATCTAAGTGACTAAAATTCAAAATAGAGACACAATAGTAAAGCACCACGCCCATGGTCCCGTCATGTACCTAGTTCAGATATAATATTTCATATCACAACTAAGGAATCAACTGATAAGCAACAGCCTCGTTAGCAAGAGGAATAAACTAAAGTAATCCCTTTTCAAATCCACCAAGCAGTTCATGTATATGACGTCCTGGCAAGTCTAAAGTAGTAACACACCAACTCAAACACTAAGGAGTGGATAATTGAACTGAGGATGATGTCAAATATATGTTTGGCAGTGTAACAAACAAGATAAGTAGTACAATATCAACCCTAAAAGGGATTTAAGGCTAAATCTACCCACAGTGTAGTTTGTTTCAATGAGGCTTCACATTCTGAACCATACCACCACAATTTGTTCCTAGGTCCAAAATTGCAGCTCTGATTTTTATCCATAATATCACTTGAAACAATACAACTATTCAAATAGTGAACGGAAGAACAACCTACAAGGTTACAACCAGAATATGTCTCGTTAAGGAGCAATAATATTCTGGGTGAAATAGTCTTAGGTGTAGAATGTTTAGATGGCTTCAACTGATTAGTGTGTGTTATTTCTCAGGCCTATGGAGCAGATAGGAAGGAACTCAGAGCTACACTACCCTGAGGGCTGTGTTTGCATTTTTTGATCACCTTTTCATACGCACACGAGATAAAGCTATAAGTACAACAAATAATTGTGATGGTAAAATGATTGGGCTTCATCAAGCATAGTGACTGAAATGGTTTGTCTTAAATGTAGGAATTTCCTTCCTTGTCAATGTTTCCTTTCTCTAACTGTAAACACTATTCTCGTGTATTTCCCGTTTTCCTCTATTCTTCCATCTTAGATTGTAATAAATTCGGGTGTAGCACAACTACACAGTGTTTTTTCAACTTGAGTTGTTTTTACATTCAAATCACCATTTTACGTCATTACTTGAGTTGAGGGTTTTGCAAAACAGTCTCTCAACCTCCTTGAGGTAGGGATGAGGTCGGGGTACACTCTAACTTTCTCTTGCTACACTTGTGAGATTATACTAGGTATGTTGTTATCACCATTTTACCTCGTTTATTCATTAGATCATCTTAACAGTGTAAATAGACGTTAACCTATCTTGGTCCCCTCAGTAGTCACTACACCCTAGCAGGGTCCTATCAACTTTTATAAATAAGAAAGCACAACCAGTTGTATTAGTAAAGTCTCAAGTTAGAGTAATCTTCTCTCCAAAATTCTCTCTGAAGAGAACAGAAATGAAACAGATCCAACTAAGCAGCATATAGAAAACGGTAGTACCCGAGCTCAAGCATGTAAAGCTTGATGTATAAGCAGAATATCAACATTTTGTATAAGCAGAATATCAACATGAGTAGGCTATATGTCGAAATCATATATCTAAAGATTAGCATGTTTATTAATCACAATAGATAAACAAGAGTCATCGAGCAAGTTGAACGAGCCTTCCCCCATCACAGAACTATCGAAATACAAACTTTCAACATATATTCAAAAGAAATTAGTAAATCAAATGAAATCCAGAATGTAAAAAGACCAATAAAATCACAAACCCCAGAATTGAGAAGCATAAAACAAGAATCAATAGCTTGACATTACACATATAACCAAGTAATGGTAGTATTTTTTGGACAGCCAGAGCTAGGTGTTTAAACAGTGGTACTTCCAGCACTATGTTGTTGACATTGGTAGGAAAAATAAGGTCCCGCTGAGAAGGAAACTACAACCTAGGTACCTCAAAATAATCACACAGTTCTACTTAATATTATTTATAGCAAGGATCTACAGATTGCTTACTAATGTCATCATAAATTTGTGTTTTCTCCTGCCATAAGGATATTTCTTTTCTCTATATATGAATTTTAGCTAGTGACCCCGTTCAATGACTTATAATTCTATTTGGTTAAGAGATGTGTGAGAAGTGTATGAAATATTTCCCCATATATACACTGATACTTTTCTTATGGCAACATTGAAAGAGGGAGAAGCTGCTGCAAAAGCTAAGGAATCTAAGAAGAGCAATCATGTATTTCTATTTGTCCATCAATAGAAATTTATACTATGTATTTATCTATGTATTATTGATTCTTATATCTATGTATTTATTTTCTCATAATTTATGTCACAGAGTTGGACCGATAAGCTTGAACCCCAAGAAAAGAGAGCAACATTTAGATAACAAGGAAAAAATATAAAAGGCGGGCGGAAAGAGATAACGAGTAGAACTGGACACAATTCAGACACAAACAATTAGCACACAAAGGTATGACTTGATGAGACTCTAATTTTACAATCAGAGCGCGAGTAAATGGATAAGTCAAGCAAGCAGATTTGGTACCTTCACCGTGTATCCATTCTCAAGAACCTTCAACTGATCAAGATCTTCTCCGAGTTACAGGGGTCTTGGTTCTGATTCTGATATGTTTTCAGAAACTTATAATCATAGCTCTAGATATGAAATAAGTGAAAGACAATTGCTCAGTCATACAATATATGAATGGAAAATTGTATTGAAAATATTACACAAATATATTTCTTTCTTCAGTGGCTTCTCCATATCTGAGATTTAAGACTTGTGAGTAGCTGAAAGATTTAGGCTATTATGTATCTGAGATGTGGAAAAATAGGTGGAATTCTTGTAACCTGTACCCAAAGAGAGCTCCAGGGAATTCTTCTACCAAGAATTTCATCCCTGTAAGAAAAGCTACCGCCTAAAATAGAAGCAATCATACAGTTATACTAGTCTGGCATACTATTGAAAGAAAAAAAAAGAGCAAAATGTCTAAACCTACTTTCCCATTTACGGGGAGATCACAACATAAACTTTTGACTCTGACATAGTTTAGTACAACTTCTCTGTATCTCCACCAGTTGTTCCCACTACCAAAGGTACTCCAGCTTTGTTGTATAATTAAGCATTATCTGCAAATTCATGGTGGAAATAAGAACATTGCAATGGCTCATTCCACACCGTCTTCTACTCTCCACTAAAGACATGCGTAAAAGATATCACAGGAACCTACCTATGCTGGTAAAGCTTATTTATAAGAACTTCAGCATCAAGACTTTTTTCTAACAAAATTAACCAAAATATTCATAATAAAACGGTTCTCCATGTCTGCCTATAATACTTAGCTTCTATTGGCTCCAGTATTATTCGCTTATACCACAAAGGTTCCAAAACATACTCATAATTTGCTAAGTTACAATGTAGCAGGATATAGCATACAAACAAAACATAAGCTTCACATTGACATCAAACACGAAATATCAAAACAATAAGATCAATGTATCGCGGAATTCAGCAGTTTATCAAGAACAACACAACAGTTCATCAGTTTGCTAAGTTATAATGTACTCCAATGAATAGATGTTTATCAAGCATCTAATCAAATGCATATTCAAATGTACAAAGACAGAAGACATGAAAAAACTGAAAAGTTATAAAAATCTGAAGCCACCGGAAGTGATGATAAGGGTAAAAAGAGGAGAAAGATGGAACACCTCTTGCCAGTAATTTGTCTTCGGCGAGTGACGAGTGAAATCATCATATCGACCTCTTTGTTACCTCCGGCAATTTGTAAAAAGCGTCATTGCTAAGCCTATCCCTTATTGACCTCATTGTTATTGTCTCCACCAGCTGCTTAGCACAAATGTTTGCTCTGAATGGCCCCCCGCACTCGATTCTTAGCACGGAACCCTAATTATACTTACAAACACGAATTGAAGGAAATTGAGGACTGAAAATACCTAAGGCATGGATTTGGGGGAACTAATTCGCTTCAGAGAGAGCGCCCAGCGAGGGAGAAGCAGAACGAGTGATTTTCATTTTTCTTAATGATTTGCACTAATAAGGAGTATCTTTTACCTGCAAAAGTATAAATGCCGCTAATAAGTGACTTTAGGTTATAAATTAGCGGCAATTAACTAATTGCCACTAAAACCCTATTCCGGTGTAGTGAATGGCCACGATAGCAGTGTATGCAACTTGTTGGAGTTCTGGTTGCTATGATATTGATATATTGGCTGTATTTGATGATGCAATTAGAGATGGGGTGTATGCCATTTCTGTATCTTTGGATCCTGATGCTCCCCAATAAGATTATTTCAGTGATGCTATTTCCTTGGGGTCATTTAATGATATTAGTCGTGGGATACTTGTGGTGGACTCAACTGGAAATGAAGTAACCTCTGGTTCAGCCACAAATTTATCTCCCTGAATGATCACAGTTGCAACCAGTCCAACCGACAAAGATTTTACCTCTGATATTATACTATAAAATAGAGTTCGGCTCATGGTTATCACATTTTTTAATTAATTTACACGTTTAAGTAATTTTCAATATGTATATCCTCAATATGTTCTCATTTTTTGGGAGGGTGAAAGTCTTCGCTTATATAAAATGAATACATCTTCAAGAATCATACTTGCTTCTTAAGGTTATGCTGGATATTTCACTCCCTATCAATTCAGGTACTCCCTATTTTTTAGATGTAGATATATATGCATTGAAAATTATATTGAAGTACTTTTCCCTTTGTTTTTCACTAGTTATTGCTTAGATAGTTCTTTGAATAGAACTAAGGCTAAAGGGAAGGTTCTTGTGTGTCGACATGCTGGAAGCTCAAGTGAGTCTAAGCTAGAGAAAATCATTATAGTTAAAGAAACGAGTGGAGTTCCAATGATCCTTATTGATGAAGTAGACAAGGGTGTGGCCATCCCCTTCAACATTCCAGCAACAACTGTTAGGTAAGGGATTGGAAACAAGATCCTAGCTTACATTAATAATACACAGTTCACTTCCTTCTTAGTGGCTATTACAATTAGTTTTATTATTCTTTGATGTTATAAGTCATCATCTCATCCAATTTCACATCTCTTTTAAATTAACAGCTTTCCTACGATAAGGGTTCTCTCTTCTAAAACGTTTTTGGGAGCTCAACCTGCTCCTCGAGTAGTAGCTTTTTCTTCAAGAGTTCCTAATTCATGAACTCCAGAAACTTTGAAGGTAATTTGTTTGCTTATGATAGTATCATATATAGATTCTAGGTTAAGCTTGAAATGTCACTTGCATGCTTTGCTTAAATTTTGAAATAATGATATTATAGAGTTCCTAATTCTCGAACTATGCTAGATAGTTTAAATCTGAGTCAATGGTTGATAAAGTTGTAGATTTTAGGTAAATCATTTAAACAAATTTAAGGATGCTAAGCTTAATCCAATTTTGTGTGACCTCTGACTTTGACCAAAATCCTATTTTATAGCCATTCACCACCCTAGATATTGGTCTTTATATTGTTTTAGAGAAGAAAAACTTATACAGTAGCCTCATCTTTTTCAGCATAGTCCCGAGCTCCTGGCAATATGGAATAAACTTTGACATAGCCTATTGTCACGTCCCGCCACTTCGCAGTAGAATTTTGCGTCCGGATAGGGGCGGAAGGGTCTAGAGTTGTGGAGAGGTTTCCGGAAGACTCTAGAACCCTTTAGATTATTCCAGAAGGCTAGAGAATTCCCTAGAATTCTCTAGAATAACTTAGAAGGCAATGGAAGGTCCTAGAGTGTGTAGAAAGTTCTAGAGCTAGGACCAAAGTGTAAATAAGTGAGGGACTTGTAAGTAATTTTAAATTACACTTAGGCCCTTAGGAGTTAGTATAAATAGAGGTGCCCCTCATTTGCAAGGCACCATCCAAGTTGTAAGCAATCTTCCAAAGCCAATACAAAAGCCTTCTTCCAAAAAGC